CAGGTATGTAAAAAAAAATTATTTAATATATTTATGAGGTATTACAGCTTTTTTTGTTTGCCCTAATTTTCACATGTCCAGGAAGAGTTTTGGTAGCTTTATCCATGAAGTTGGACTGAATCTGTGTTTTTTTTTTTTTTTTTTTTGTTTTGAAACAAACTCCCAATCAGCTTCCTTTATTTATACCTTTAAGGAAGTGTTTCTCAAAGGGAAAAATTGGATAATTATGGTATATTCTCTGCAGGAAATCATCCTTGATTGATTTTTGCTTAGCTGAAGGAATTGCGTTTATCGTCAGCTCGGTGGCCTTTTTTAAGTTGGGATTTGTACCCTGTGTATTTGTTGGAGTGTTACTGTGTGGCATGGTGATAAGTGGTTGCTGGGTTACTGAGGTTGTAGGGTTGTAGCCTGTGTTGTTGGAGTGTTACTGTGACATGGTGATATGCGGTTAGGTTTGGCATGAAGCTCTATTGTACTGGGGTTGTAGGGTTGTAGCCTGTGTTGTTGGAGTGTTACTGTGATGTGGTGATAAATGGGCACCAGGTTTGCAGTCATAGGGTTGCAGCTGTGTTGTTGGGTGCAGTATGTGGCATGGTGATAAGTGTTAGGTTTACAAAAGGAGCAACAGGGTTGTAGCCTGTGTTGGAGTGTTACTGTGGCATGGTGATAGTGTTAGGTTTTACCGGGAGTCGTAGGGTTGTAGCCTGTGTTGTGGAGTGTTACTGTGGCATGAGTGATAAGTGGGTAGGTTTTACTGGGTTATAAGGTTGTACCCCACCTGTTTGACTGGAGTGTGTGACTGTGGCGTGGTGATCGCCCTGTGTGTTCTGCACTGAGGTTCTGCTCAGGCCTCAGTGCAGCTGTGGGCCAAGGGAGCAATGCAGAAGGAGCTGTGGCTGCAGCGGCTCATGTCCCTGGAGACCACTGGATCTTGGCCTTGAATCACCCATCTCTCTGAGGTTGCAGGGGGCGTGGTGGGCTACAGTGTGACAGGGCGCCCCCATGGCTGGGGTGAGGGTGCAGAAGGGGAGTCCCAGCCTTGCCTTAGAGCACAGTCAGCCTTTCCTGTCCTCACGGTTCCTGTGGGTGAGGTTTAGGAGGGTGTGGGGACGTTAGGGTGCAGTCCTCACACGCTCCTGAAGGTGGAGTTGAAGCAGGGCCCTTTGAGGTGTGGGCTGGTGCTGGCCTCTGCCTGGGCCTCCTGGGGTGCTTGGGCATCACATGCTGCCGAAGCATCTCACCGTCTCCCAGGGTGTGCGGAGTGAGGGCAGAGTGAGTCGCCACAGCCAGGCCAGAAACTCTCTGGAAGGGACCCTGAGGCGGGAAGGCACACAGCTAGGCCTCCACCACCTCCTCATCAAGTGATCATGGCTGGGCGGGCGGCTTAGGCCTCAGCAGTTTGGGCAACGTGGCGGAACTCTGTCTCTACAAAATACAAATATTAGCCAGGTGTTATCAGCTACTGGGAGGCTGAGGTGGGAGGATGACTTGAGCTGGGAGTTGTGCCACTGCACTCCAGCCTGGTGAGAGAGACCAGACCCTGTCAGAAAAACAAAGAATCTGGCGTGGCAGAAGAGAGAAGGTGTGACATGGGATCTGGCTTCCATTCGCTGGAAGAGTCGGCTTGACTTATGTAAAGGAAGGGTTGTTGAAGAGTGGAAATGTTTTAAGACCACGGCACCTTGTTATTTTAATATCCCCCTCAGATTCTTAGAACAGTGGGATACCTGGTGAGCCGGCTCGGGGATGCCTCCTTTCGGCACAGTGTGGATTCTCTCTGGCTGGTGGTGCAGGCACGCTGACATGCTCAGCTGATGCTGGTGACGGAGGACTAAGACAGGCCTTCCTTTCCGGAAGGTGAGGGCTTAGCTGGAGGATGTCATCACTTTTTGAAGGTGGATTATCCAGCGAGGAGCAAACACTTTCGTGGTAGAGAACAGCAAACATCAGAGGAGCTGGAGCGGGTCGTTTTGGGCTGGGGCAGTGCTTTTTGGGTTTATCTGCGCAGCCCCAGCTCTGCGGCGGTGCTCGGTGTGTGTGAGGAGCTTGGCGTTGTTGCTGAATACAAGTACAGGGCCTGAGAGGGCTGAGACAGTGAGCTTGTGGGCCCCCACGGTTGCCCAGTGACGGACCCGGGTGTGACCGGAGTGTCCTCCAGGGACAAGCAGGCTTTCCTGGCAACTGTTGGGCATTCACTCCCAGGAGTCGGTTCCGTTCCTGACGTTGGCATTGGCAGGACTCAGGCTAAGCTGCTGAGCCTTACGATATAAAAAATATTTGTGTTAAGTCAGAGCTGTTGCTTGTGGGTTATGAGTGAAATGGTGCTTGACTCAGGATAGCATGTGGTACACACAGATGCTAAACTCGTTTCTGTCTGTCTGTCATACATCAGCTGCTGTTTGTGTAAAGGGCTGTGGTGTGAGGCAACAGCAACTGCGTCTAATTTTCTCACAGACTCTGTGGATCAGGAGAGCTCACAGCATGAAGCAGTTCTGTCACTGATACCTGAGGCCTCGGCTGGGGAGACTGCCCAGGAGGACACAGGAGGTGGTGACTCAGGGGCCGCGGGGCTGTGCCTCTCATACCTGCCTGGTGCTGGCTGAGGACCCTCTGGGTGGCATCCGCAGGCTGCCTCCCAGGGCTGCTGCTCTTGCCTCACAGGGAGTATCTGGATCTGCAGCCCAGGAGGACCAGGTAGTGATGGCCACTGGGGAGGCCCAGAGTGCCTTGTGTGTCTGGATTGAGCCCAGCAGCCGCGGAGGAGCACAGACTCCTGCGCGCAGCAGTTGGGGCGTGGAGTCTGTTGTGGCTGTTTTTGGAAAATACGTTCTGACACAGATATTTACAAATACCAGTGTTGTCCTTCCTCTGTTGTTAGAAGCTGCTGTTGTAACTTGTTTTTAACCTTCTTTTTTGTAATGTTTAATATTTTGATAATGAGAATTACACAGCTTTTTATAATAATGTCGTTTTAGACTAGTGAATAATTTTTTAAAATCTGTATTTCTGTTACCTTTTATTGAAGTAGAAATATTTTCTGGCATGTCAAAAGTGCTGCCATTGATTTAAAAATGGCCTGATGGAAACTGCTCACTGGAGCACACAGACCAGAATTAATTATTTTAAACTTTGAACCTTCCTCTTTATACTTTTCTATTTAGAGAAAAACCAAAGATGATACCTGAAACAGATGACCTCAGAAAACATCTCTGGGTAATGATCATGTGATTTGGATTTGGGAGTCTGAGGGGTTGCATTGTTGAGTCCTGAGGACTCGTAGGGTCTGTAAAGGACATTCACGGCATTGTTTGGTTTTCTTGGACCCACTTTACACAGTACACAGCACTGTGTGACTTGCAGTTACGTCGCCTCACTGCAGAAATACTTTCAATCAGAGTGGCGTGCAGCTCACAGTCCCTCTGGAGGCGTTTGCTGAAAAAGTAGCTGGACCCTCCCTGTTGTGGGAGGCCTGCCAAGGCTCAGGGCCTCCGCACTGCTCCAGGGTGGAGTGCGCAGCAGCCAAGGACTGCACAAGCAGGTGGATGAGAGAGAGGAGCTTTGGGGACCAGGCGGGGTGGGAGGGAGCTTTGGGACGGAGAGAGTCCTTGTTTGTATAGGGCCCAGGTGGTTTTGTGTCTTAGTGATTTTCACTTACAACGTTATCTCTCTCTTTTTAACACGTGTAGTATTTTATTTGTTTTAATTAATTTTTTTTTTTTTTTTTATACACTATCTTTTGAGATGGGTCTCACCCTTTTACCGAGGCCAGAGGGCAGTGGTGAAATCATAGCTCACTGCAACCTTGACCTTCCCAGGCTCTAAGCTGCCCTCCGCCTCAGTCTCTCGAGTAGCTAGGACTACAGACATGAGCCACCAGGCCTGCTACTTTTTTAATTTTTTAATTTTTTGGGTAAGATCACCGGATCTTGCTTTCTTTTATAGGAGAAGCTGGCCCGATCGCTCAAGGCAGTCCTGCCTCGGCCTCCCAAAGTGCTGGGATGAAGCTGGTGTGAGGTATGCCTGGCCTCTTATTTTTTAGTTTCTTTATTTTTTCACATTTGAAGTTTGCATGGGTGCAGGTTCTTACATGCGTATCTGCGGAGTGGTGAAGTCTGGGCCACATTAGTGCATACAACACCTGGATTGTACCTGACACCCGGGTGTACCTGTCACACGAATAGTGAACATTATACCGATAGAGTAATTTTTCACCCTCTGATACGTAGTATTTTGTTGATTTGATAAACAACAGCAACCGTCTAATTTTCTCACAGACTCTGTGGATCAGGAGAGCTCACAGCAGCAGGCTTAGTTCTGTCACTGATACCTGGGGCCTCGGCTGGGGAGACTCGAGGTTCGGGAGGTGGTGACTCATGGGGGGCCGCGGGAGCTGTGCCTCTCACGCACCTGCCCTGGTGCTGGCTGTGAGGGACCCTCTGGGCTGTGGCATCCGCAGGGGCCTCTCCCCAGGGCTGCTGCTCTTCCTCACAGGGGAGTATCTGGATCTGCAGCCCAGGAGGACCAGGTGGAAACCCATTGTCCTGGGAGGCCCACGATGCCTTGTGTCCTGGATTGAGCCCAGCAGCCGCGGAAGGAGCACAGACTCCTGCGCGCAGCAGTTGGGACGTGAGTCTGTTGTGGCTGTTTTTGGAAAATACGGTCTGACACAAGATATTTTAAACCCACGGAGTATTTGTCCTTCCTCTGTTGTTCGACTGCTGTTGTAACTTGTTTTCACTTTTATTTTGTAATATTTAATATTTTTTGAAGTAGCCAAAGGGATACATTTTATAATAATGTGTCGTTTTAGACTAGTGAATAATTTTTTAAAATCTGTATTTCTGTTACCTTTTATTCCAGGAAGTAGAGAAGTATTTTCTGGCATGTCAAGAATTAACTGCCATTGATTTAAATGGCCTGATGGAAAAGCTGCTCACTGGAGCACAGACAATTAATTATTTTAAACTTTGAACCTTCTAACTTTATACTTTTCTATTTAGAGAAGAACCAAAGATGATACCTGGAAAGCAGATGACCTCAGAAAACATCTCTGGGTAATGATCGTAACGATTTGGATTTGGGGTCTGTGAGGGACTCGTGGGGTCTGTGAGGGACTCGTGGGGTCTGTGAGGGACTCGCGTGGTTTTCTTGGACCCACTTTACCTGGTACACAGCACTGTGTGACTTTGGTTACGTGCGCCTCACTGCAGAAATACTTTCCAATCAGAGGTGAAGGCGTGCAGCTCACAGTCCCTCTGGAACGTTTGTTAAGCCAGCTGGACCCTCCCACCGCTCGTGGGGCCCTGCCAAGGCTCAGGGGCCTCCGCACTGCTCCAGGGTGGGAGTGCTGCTTATACTTTTCTATTTAGGAGAAGAACCAAAGATGATACCTGAAAGCAGATGACCTCAGAAAACATCTCTGGGTAATGATCGTAACGATTTGGATTTGGGGTCTGGGAGGGACTCAAATCTGGTGAGGGACTCGGGGTCTGGGAGGGACTCGTTGGGAGCCTTCTTGACCCACTTTACCTGGCAGGCTGCCAGTACTGTGTGACTTGCTACGTGCGCCTACTGCAGAAATACTTTCCGCAATCAGAGGTGAAGGCGTGCAGCTCACAGTCCCTCTGGAACGTTTGTTAATAGTTGGAATCCTCCCCACGGCTCGGGGGCCCTGCCAAGGCTCAGGCTCAAGACTGCTCCAGGGTGGGAGTGCTGGCTTCAGGGGCTGCAGCGGGGCGGGGAGGCTTGGGACGGCGGCGTGGGGAGGGGCTTGGGACGGCGGTGGGGTGGGGAGGCTGGGACGGCGGGCGCGGAGCGGGAGGGCTTGGGACGGTGGCGGGGTGGGGGGAGGGGCTTGGGACGGCGGCGGTGCGGGAGGGGCTGGACGGGCGCGGGTGCGTGGGAGGGGGCTTTGGGACGGCAAGGTGGGTGCGGGAGGGGCTTTGGGACGGCGGCGGGTGGGGGGAGGGGCGGACGAGAGAGTCCTTGTTTGTAGGGCCCAGGTGGTTTGTGTCTTAGCGATTTTAAAACACAATCTGGGTATTCTCTTTAACACGTGTAGTATTTATTTGTTTATTTCTTGAATTAATTTTAATTTATGTTTTAGAGGATGGGGTCTCACCTCTTTCTTACTGAGGCCAGAGGCAGGTGAAATCATAGCTCACTGCAACCTTTGACCTTCTGGGCCTGTTGTCTCCCGCCTCAGTCTCGAGTAGCTAGGACTACAGACATGAGCCACCAGGCCTGCTACTTTTAATTTTTTTAATTTTGGGTAAGATGTGGATTCATGTGTTGCTCGGGCTAGCCTTGAACTCCTGGCCTCTGTGTGTGGGCAATCCTTCTGCCTCAGCCCTCCCAAAGTGCTGATAGTAGGTGTGAGGCACTCATGCCTGGTCTTACTTTTTTTGAATTTTATTTTATTTTCACATTTAGGGTTATAGGTGTGTGCTTTCTTATATGCGTATCTGCGAGTGGTGGTGTCTGGGCCATTAGTGCGCCTGACACCTGAATCTGTACCTGACACCCGAATTGTACCTGTCACCCGAATAGTGAACATTATACCCGGAGAATTTTTCACTCTCTGATACACGTAGTATTTTACATTTGATTTGCCGATAAATGCGAATGTCCATGATATCAGGGGTGTGGGTGGGCAGTTGTAGAAATCTAAGCTTGACTCCATGTCCTTTAGTGTTCTAAGAACCTCCATGACCCGTCTAGGATTGGAAATCGAGATTGGAAAGCAGCTGAATGCAAATATGTTTTAAGGTCCTTCAGCTGTATGTGCTTCTCACATTCAGGTATTAAAAGTCTAATGGAAATCTGCCTTCCTGGGTCACGGAGGACTCCCTTTGTTCTCTTTGTTTTAGGCCATACAGTCAGGCGGTTCCAAGGAAGAAAAGAAGCACAGAGAGAAGAAGCTGCTTAGTCTGAAATGGACCCTCCTGAACACAAGGAGTCGGTGGAGGGATCCCCGACTCAGGGATGCCAGGAGCAGAGAGCAGGGCACGAAGTCCACACTGCTAAGTGACAGGTCCTCGGGGGAGAGGGACAGGACAGACAGAGGGAGAGAAGAGATGCAAAAGACCCGGGAGAAAGAAAAGCTGAAGGAGAAACATCGAGGCAGAAAAGTCTCACAGCAGAGGAAAGGACAGGGAAAAAGAAAAAGACAGAAGGGCCCAGAAGGAAGAGCTCGCAGACCGTGGCCCGTCACAACCTGCTGGGCCAGGAGACACGACTGCAGCTCCTGAGCGGCGGAGAGGAAAGGCCGCTCAGGTGGGTCCCTGTTTGCCTTCCTGCAGGCTGTTTCGGGCTGCTGGTGACAGGTTGATAGCCCACTCCCCTCCTCTCTCTCTCTCTCTCCCTCCCTCCCTCCCTCCCTCCCCTCCCCTCCTCCCTCCTCTCCCTCTCCCCATCCCTCCCTCCTCCTCCCTCCCCTCCCTCTCTCCCCTCTCCCCTCACCCTCTCTCAGTCCCCTCCTCCTCTCCGCTCCTCCCTCCCCTTCCTCCTTCCTCCCTCCCCTCTCCTCCCTCCCCCTCCCTCCCTTCCTCACTCCCTCTCTCAGTCCCTCCTCCCTGCCATCCCTCCCTCCCCTCTCCTCCTCTCTCCCTCCCTCCCTGCCATCCCTCCCCCTCCCTCTCCCTCCCCTCCCTCCCTCCCTCTCCCTCCCTCCCTCCCTCTTTCGCTGTCCCCTTCTCCTCCTCCCTCCTGCCATCCCTCCTCTCCCTCCCCCTCTCCCCTCACTCCTTCCCTCCCTCACTCCTTCCCCTCCTTCTCTCCTTCCTTCCTCCCCTCCCACCTCCCCTCCCTCCCTCCCCTCCCTCCCTCCCCTCCTCCCTCCCCCTCACACTCCCTCCTCCCTCCCCCTCACTCCTCCTCCTCCCCCTCACTCCTCCTCCTCCCCCTCCACTCCTCCCCCTGCCTCCCCCTCCCCTCCCCTCCTCCCCTCACTCCCCTCTCCACTCCCCCTCCCCTCCCCTCACTCCTTCCTCCTCACTCCACTCCTCCCTCCCTTCCCTCCCCTCCCCTCCTACCCCCTCCCCTTCCTACTCTCCCTCTCTCTCTCTCCCTCCTTCCTCTTTTTCCTTTCCTTTTTTTTTTTTTTTTCTGGACGGGGTCTTGCTCTGCCCCAGGCTAGGAGTGCAGTGGTGCCATCACAGCTCACGACAGCCTCAGCTTCCTGGGCTTAAGTGATCCTCCCACCGCAGCCTCCCAAAGCATTGGCATTACAGACAACAGCCACTGTGCCCAGCTGGCTCTATTTCTTTTATTTATTTATTTATTTATTTATTTATTTATTTATTTATTTTAAAAGTTCTTGCTGTTTGGGACATTTTCCTCTTTGAAATGTCTATTCATTATTTTTGTTTTCATAGTTTTCACAAATGTTTTATCTTTGAAGTTAGATATTCTCTCTTGTGGGGGTGTGTGTGTAATTTTTATCATTGTTCTCTTTTGGTATTTTAAAAACTCATTCAGGCCAGGTGTGGTGGGTCATACCTGTAATCACGGCACTTTGGGAGGCTGAGGTGGGAGGATTGCTCCAGCCCAGGATTTTGAGACCAGCTTGGGCAACATAGGGAAACTCCATCACTACAAAAATAAAAATTAGCTGTGTGTGGTGGTGCTTGCCTGTAGTTCTAGCTTGTTTGGTAGGCTGAGGTGGGAGGATTCCCTTGAGCCCAGGAGGTTGAGGCTGCAGTGAGCTATGATTGTGTCACTGCACTGCAGCCTGGGCAACAGAGTGAGACCCTGTCTCAAAAGAAAAAACGAAAACTCAAAAAACCATTTAGCTAGCCAGACGGTGGCTCACGGCTGTAATCCCACACTTTGGGAGGCCAAGGTGGGTGGATCACCTGAGGTCAGGAGTTCGAAATCAGCCTGGCCAACATGGTGAAATCCTGTCTCTACAAAATACAAGCAAAATTTAGCCAGCGTGGTAGCATGCGCCTGTAATCCCAGCTACTCAGGAGGCTGAGGCAGGGGAATTGTTTGAACCAGGGAGGTGGAGGTTACAGTGAGCCGAGATTGTGCCACTGCACTTTAGACAGAGCTTCACTAATTTTAATAGTAGCTGTCCTACTATTTAATCGTTCTTCAAAATGATTGTTTTTGACGCTTTTGTATTTATTTGTGATAACATCTTTTGTTCTCACATCACTCCTTTTTGGCTACTCTGCTCGCTTTTTTCAACGTGGTGTTGAAAGGAATTGTACTGGAAAGACTTTTGAAAACTGATTGTAGACTAGACTCTCTCAAGTTCTTTCCCTCTGTGCCTCTTCTCATCTCCTTTCTTTCCGCACGCCCGCCTGTGCAGTGTGGTCTTATCCAGGACTGGGTCCAGCCCTCTCTCTCCAGCAACCCCTTGCCCTGCTGGCTGGATCTAGTCTCATGGTTTTAAATACTGTTTGTCTCTGTCCTCATTTCCAAGTTTTTACTTCCCCAGCTGCATTGTCCTGAATTCCAGGCTTGTGTATCCCCTGTGTTTTGATGTCTAATAGATAACACAAACGCAGTGTACCCCACACGGAGAGTTTCCAGTAGCTCCCCACACCGCTGTGTGCTGGAGGCTTGCCTTCCATCTCAGTCGAGCAGCACCTGCATCCTCGCCAGCCCCGAGGTCAAGAGCCCGACGTATCCTGATGCTCCGCTTTCCAGTCTCTGAGAGTCCTGGGTTTCCGCCTTGAAAATCTACCTGAGCCGGGCTCTCCTCTGTAACCCAGACTCCTAGAGGAGTGCCTAAAGTGCTTGGTAAATGCCTTTTTTTTTTTCTGAGGAGGAGTCTCGGCCTGTCGCCTCAGGCTGGAGTACAGTGTTGCAGTCTCGCCTACCAGACCCTCTGTCTCCCCGGTTCAAGCAGTTTTCTCCTCACCTCCCGAGTAGCTGGGATTACAGGCGCACACCACCACGCCCGGCTCATTTTTGTATTTTCAGTAGAGATGGGGTTTCATCATGTTAGCTAGCTGTTCTTGAACTCCTGACCTCGTGATCTGCCTGCCTCGGCCTCCCACAGTGCTTGGATTACAGGCATGAGCCATCGCACCCAGCCTGGTAAATGCTTCTTTGAGGAATGCACCGCGCCCGGCCCAGTAAATGCTTTTGAGTGAATGCACTTTGCCTCTGAGTGGTCTTTGAAAGTTTAACTTTGCCCTGATCTTTGTGTAAAGTGTCCACTCTCTGAATTTTACATCTGATGCCTTTTTGTGTGTAGACCAGAAGTGAAAGTCCAGCTTTCCTTGTTGGATGATGCTTTGGAACATCGTACCTGCCTGGCTCTGCCCCCCAGTTCCTCTTGCAGGTCATGCTGGGCTCATGCTTCGCTTCCCAGCCCAGGATGGATGCTGCAGCCTGGTGCCCTGGGGGTCTGCTGCACTTGGCTTCCTTGTTTATTCAGGGGCCTCTGACTTCCTTGGTCCCCTCAGCAGTGGGGGTGCCAGGAGGTACGGGGGCTGCTCTGGGTCCTCAGTGCATCCAGGAGGGCAGGCGCTTCCTGGAGCTCACATTTGCAGCTAAAGTGTTTGGCTGACTGGGCTCGTTTCTCCTGTTCAGACTAAGCTCTTCTTCAAGTGACGCGCAGAAACCCTGAAGGCTGTATGAGCTTGGTCTGGTTCCCCTCTTGAATTCTGCAAGGGTTACTCAGACATTTGCCTGGTTGCTTCAGCAGCAAACTGAGCGAGGCAAGAAGTCTCTCTGTTCCTTAGTGTACGAGCGTCTGTCCTCATATCAGTTGTAAAGAAACACCCAAGGCTGGGGAATTTTTATAAAGAAAAGAGGTTTAACTGGCCTTCACAGTTGTGCAGGTACAGGAAGCGTGGCTGCGGAGGCCACAGGAGACTTACAGTCCTAGGGGAAGGTGAAGGGAAGCGGTCATGTCTTACAGGGCCGGAGCAGGAGGAAGGGAGAGAGTGGGGAGGTGCCACGCATTTTTTTAAAAACAACCAGATCTTGTGAGAACTCACTCAGTATCACAAGAACAACACCGGGGGAAATTCACCCCTTGATCCAGGTCACTCACCCAGGTCTCACCTTCAGCACTGGGTGACTGTGTTTCAGCTTGAGATTTTGGGTGGGGACGAGATCCAAACTGAGATCGCCATGTTCATCTCCTTCTTTCATTTTGATATTAGAACTCTTCATTCTTGGAATTGAGACATGTGTTTTAGTTGAAGAATATTTTTAAATACATATTAATAAGCATAAAATGTGCAATACCGTCCATAGCAAGATGTTAAAAGAACTTTTGATGTGCACATTTGGGAGTATTAAAATATGTTTTACTTTGTAGTAAGTAAAGTAAGAAGTGAAGAGAAAGATGAAGACTGAAAGAGGAGGACAAGACAGAGAAAGAAGATACTGCAGAAAGAAAAAGGTATACGAAGCAAGGCCTGGGGAAAGGTTTTCCAAATGTTGCCAAGTAAAGGATATTTTAAACGTTATTGTTAGAAGCATTTTAGAAATGTCCTAAGCCAGATTTCAGGCCTGGAAAAGGCCTTCAGCACTGTGTGTAGTCAGTTTCTTTCTCCCCATGGTCGAATGTGTTTTTCTGGTTCCAAAGGTAATTTGTGATTATTTTAGAAAATTTAGAAGATATAGGCCGGGTGCAGTGGCTCACGCCTGTAATCCCAGCACTTTGGGAGGCCAAGGCAGGCAGATCACAAGGTCAAGAGATTGAGATCATTCTGGCTAACACAGTGAAACCCCATCTCTACAAAAAATACAAAAAAATTAGCCGGGCGTGGTGGTGGCACCTGTAGTCCCAGCTACTTGGGAGGCTGAGGCAGGAGAATGGCGTGAACCCGGGAAGCGGAGCTTGTAATGAGCCGAGATTGCGCCACTGCACTCCAGCCTGGGCGACAGAGCGAGACTCCATCTCAAAAAAAAAAAAAAAAAAAAAAATTTTAGAAGAGCAAATAAGTAATAAGAAAATAAAAACTGTCTAATCCTACCCCACAGGTAAGTATTGATAGCATTTAGGTATGTATTTTCCAGGTCTGTATATTTGTGTATGTATAACACTGTTTTCTTTAGTTAGATTTTTACTGTTTTATAAATTGTTTAAACGGAACACATTTTGAGCCTTTTCCTGAGTGATCCTGTCTCTCTCGTGTGTTTCAGTGCGCAAGTGGGCTTCAGTATTTCGCATGGTGGTGGGATGTGTTGGTGACTTTGCGCGGCACCTGTGGTTTTGACAATTTAGAAAGGTTTCTGTGTGTTTGTGTTTTCTTAAATTATAAAGACATCCAGATGGTATGCTTTTTGGTTTGTTCATAATTATTTCCTTATGATTAATTTCTGGAAATGAACTTGCTAGAAGTAAATGTAAACTTACCCCATTTGCTTTACATAAAAGTTGTAATTATTTATATCATCAGAGCATACCCTCCTGTCCTAAGCAGGAGCTGGGCATTACCGTCATTTAAAAGTTTTGCTCTTTTTGATTCAGAAGAAAATGGCATTTCTGGGCATTTTTAAAAGCAGGTTTACTGTCTCGTTATTTACCACTTGTGTACTTTTGCTTATCTTTTCTCTTTATTTTATTTTTATTTTTAGAGACAGGGTCTTGCTCTGTCACCCAGGCTGGAGTGCAGTGGTGTGATCATAGCTCACTGCAGTCAGGAATTCCTGGTTCACAGTCTTCCCACCTTAGCCTCCCGAGTAGCTGGGACTTACAGGTGTACCACCAAACCTAGCCCCAGTTTTAAATTTTTTGTAGAGACTGGGTCTCACTGTGTTGTCCAGGCTGGTCTTGAACTCCTGGAACTCCTGTGCATCAAGTGATCCTCCCACCTCGGCCTCCCAGAGTGCTGGGATCACAGGCGTGCGCCACTGCACCTGCTCTTGGCTGATTTTTCACTGGTATCTTTACTGGGTTTGTAAGAGTACTTTAAAGGTTAACTCTCTGCCAGTCATTATGTTGTTTTTGGCTGGTGTTGAATTGGACCTGGGGGATTTTTATTTTTGTAAGTAAGTTTAAAATCATGAAGTAGCCAGGTCTGTGCTTTTACCAGGTCTGTGCTGTTAGCAGGTCTGTTGTTGATGGAACGCTCTCTCCACAGCAAAGTTACATGAGTTGTCACCTGTGTTTTTTTCTGGGTCTTTAACTTTTTTAAAAAAAGTGATTTAAATTTGGCCAGGCATGGTGGCTCACGCCCTGTAATCCCAGCACTTTGGGAGGCTGAGGCAGGTGGATCACGCAGGTCAGAGATTGAGACCATCCTGGCTAACACAGTAAAACCCGTCTCTACTAAAAATACACAAACAATTAGCAGTGGTGTGGTGGCGCGTGCCTGTAGTCCTAGCAAGTTACTTGGGAGGCTGAGGCAGGAGAATCGCTGAACCCGGGAGGCAGAGGTGGTGGCGCAGCTGAGATTGCGCCATTGCACTCCAGCCTGGGCAACAAGAGTGAACTCCATCTCAAAATAAAAAAGATTACTTAAATCTTAATTACACAGAGTTTATTTTGATGAATGGTGTGAATGGTTCTCTAACTTTGAGGTGTTTGGTCAGGGAAGGCATTAGCAAGTTTTCCATAGGAAGGTCACTCTGGCAAAGATGAGTCGGGTGGATGGGAGTTGGGGAGAATTGAGGAAGGAGCTGAGTGAGGAGACTGTTGGGTCCACAGGAGACTTCCAGGGAACTGAGAGATGCGGAGGGTGCCACAGACCTGGAGTCCAGTGGTCCCTGGTTGGGGTGAGCAGTGAGGAAACTCCACGTGAAGGGACAGGGACGGGCATAATCTGGGGTCTGTTGAACGCCATGTCAGGGCTCCCAGTGAACTAAGAGTCCAAGCCAGCAGTATTCGTTGTGGTGACCTGCCTGCAGCTTGGGATGGAGATGACCGCAGCCCTGAGCATCTGCAGCAGCCATCGCAGAGAGATGACTAAACGCTGGTCCCATTTTCAAGACTCTATCTGCGTGGGACTAATTAGGAGAGAAAGAGTGATATGACGTGTCCATGTGAGAGATGTGGCAGCCTTGTGCTGTCGTACCACCGGGAGAGGGCATCTCTCAGAGAAGTCAGAGCTTGCGCAGGAGGGACCCCAGGGCTGGTGGGACAGGCTGAGGGCTACAAGAAGGCGAGGGATGAGGCTGTGGAGACCAGGAGGACGGTGAGTGCTCGGGCGCCACAGGAGGGGCCGGGAGGCTTGCGTGGGGGAGGCCGAGTGGGCGCCATGTGGAGAGGCCGAGGCGCCATGTGGGAGGCCGGGAGGGCGCCATGTGGGGAGGCCGAGGGCGCCTACATGTGGGGGAGGCCAGGAGGGCTGGCTGTGAGTGCCGGGCGCCATGCGGAGAGGCATTGCTTTCTCTGTGGGAGCGAGGTGGCTGGGGTGCAGAGAGTTTACTGTGTAACGTTGGGGTGGCAGCAGTGTCTGACCGTGCACCATGACACGAATAGCATTTTTCCTTACAGAAGGGTAACAGATTAAGTTTTCAGGAATGTATCTGACAGTGGAATTGAGGAGTGAAGGGGGCAGTGGTAGTTCTATAAGTTTTCCTCCTTTTGTTATAACATTTATAAAGACAGCACAGTTGTCCTTTGGTATCCATGGGGTAAGGGCTCCAAGACCCCCTCAGATACCAAAATCCATGAATACTCAAGTCCCCCGTATAAAATGGTGTAGTGTCTGCATATAACCTACACACATCCTCCTGGATGCTTTAAATCATCTCTAGATTACTTAAAATCCCTAGTGCAATATAAAGGAGACGTAAATAGTTGTTATTGTTTAGGGTGTAATGACAAGGAAAAAGTCTGTATATGTTTAGTACAGACATGATTTTCTTCGAATGTGTTTGATCTGTGGTTGGTTGGATCTGTTGTTGCGAAACCCATGGAGAGGGAGGCCGGCTGCGCTCCTGTTTGACGTGCTCCTGTGTTTCTCAGCTTGTTGTGTTTTACAGCTGCAGTACGGAGACAGCAAGGACAACCCTCTCAAGTACTGGCTTTATAAAGAAGAAGGTGACAGGAGACACAGGAAGCCTAGAGACCCAGATCGAGACAAGAAACACCGAGAAAAAAGCAGCACAAGGGAAAAAAGAGAAAAATATTCCAAAGAGAAAAGTAATTCATTCTCTGAAAAAGAAGGGGAAGAAAGACATAAAGAAAAGCGACACAAAGAAGTCCTTCATTTTGATGATGAGAGGCACCGAACCAGTGTGGATAGAAAAGAGAGATCAGCAAAAGACGAGCACAAGAAAAGGGAATCCAAGGTACCCCTTCCGATGCTTCGTTGCCTTCACAGCCGCCATGAGGTCAGCGCTCTCAGAGGAGGTTTACAGGGTCGTGTCGCCAGACAAAGTTGAGATTTGTGGCCTGGTAGTAGTAATTTAGGAGAAATGCGACTCAGGTCTTGATGATGTGGTTAGTACAGACAGATTACTGATCTCCTAAGAAAAGTGATGTCACATATTTTGATTATATTGTGAATGTACTTTTAACAGATATTTGGAAATCTATCATAAAATTTTGAAATCTGGCTGGGTGCGGTGGCTCATGCCTGTAATCCCAGCACTTTGGGAGTCAAAGATGCGAATCACCTGAGGTCAGGAGTTTGAGACCAGCCTGACCAACATGGTGAAACCCCGTCTCTACTAAAAATAAAAAAATTAGCAGGGCATGGTGGCATGTGCCTGTAATCTCAGCTACTCTGGAGGCTGAGGCAGAGGAATCGCTGGAACTCAGGAAGGAGAATCGCTGGAACCCAGGAGACATAGGTTGCAGTGAGCTGAGATCGCACCACTGCACTCCAGCTTGGGTGATGGAGTGAGACTCTGTCTCTCAAAAAAAAAACAAAAAAAAATTTGAAATTTAACATTGAAAAGGAAGCTGGTAGGTTTTAAAGTGGAAATTAAGTGAATAATTAGCAAATGTTTCAACCAGAATTGGTATAAGTTTGCAAAAAAAGCAAAACAAGGCAGAACAAAAATGTAAAAGCATTGATTGCAGAGGATCTAATTTCCCTCCGAGGTCTGTGGTTTCATCCCTGTACTTAGGATTTTCCTAGAGGTGTTTTAGCACCTTTTGTTCTCAGCATGCTTTTTGCTGCTCTGTTTTTACAGAATCTGAAGCTAATATGATTTTATTTACCTGTTTCTTGGTGATGCTTCCTTTAAGATGGAAGCGAAATCTTTGCAAGGGTCAGATGGTACCTGAGGCTAGGGGAGAGTCACGCCTTCAGGGATGAGACTGGAGGCCTCAGCAGAAGCGCAGGACCTGGATCTCCCAACCTGAATTGACACAGCTGAGGAAATGCATGTAGAGCTGGTGACCACTGCAATGTTTGCTGTAAAACGCAAAAGCCAGTGGGTTAGAACTGGGAGCCCTTAGAACAAGAAGCAGTTGTGTTACGAGCAGAAGCCATCTGGCTCCCGGCCATCTCAGCCACTCTTGCGCTGTCCTGTGTGGGGTCTGAGTCCTTTAACCTCCCTTGCCTTTGCCCCGAGGGCCTTTCCTCACTGAGACCCCACTGTCTCCCGCAGCCCACGCCCTCCGTGTGTATCAGGGCCTTGGCCGTGTTTCTTAGCAGGTTTGAGGCAGTGCTGGTTCTGCTACCCACATCTGCAATGTGGAAAGCCCGTGGACTCCCTCAGTCAGCCACACTGAAGGTTAGATGAGAAGCAGCTCCCTGAGGACAGATATTAATTTTTTTTGGTTTTTATTTATTTATTTATATTTATTTATTTATTTTGAGATGGAGTCTCGCTCTGTCACCCAGGCTGGAGTGCAGTGGTGCGATCTCGGCTCATGGCAAGTTCTGCCTTCCGGGTTCACGCCATTCTCCTGCCTCAGCCTCCTGAGTAGCTGGGACTACAGGCGCCTGCCACCATGTCCAGCTAATTTTTTGTATTTTTAGTAGAGACGGGGTTTCACCGTGTTAGCCAGGATGGTCTCGATCTCCTGACCTCATGATCCGCCCGCCTCGGCCTCCCAAAGTGCTGGGATTACAAGTGTGAGCCACCGCGCCCGACCGTTTTTTTTGTTTTTAAGTCTCTTTCCTTAGATCAAAACTTCATCATTTTCTCTCAACGTTGTATTATGAACGTTTTTAAACATACAGCAAAGTCGACATAATTTTCCAGTGAACACTCACGTACCCACAACTTAGACTTCACCACTCACCTTTTATTGAATTTGGCTGTTCTCCATTCCCTAAATCACGTTTAATTACTGGAAGTGACTTAGGTTACATGTGCTTAGTTCCACCCAGAAATGCCTTTCTGGACATAGATTTGGCTTTTATTAAAGGTGGATGAGAAAAATGGTCTATGAAGAACATTATCCTGTACCTTTGTAAAACCACTGCCTTCAAATTAGTCCCAGAAGAAAGATTATTCAGATGACTGACGTTTTCTTTTTAAGACAAGTTGTTCCTATCTGAGTGGCTTGTGTGCTGGGCACGGTTCTAGGTGCTGAGGATACAGCTGTGAACAAAACAAAAATTACTGTTCTTATGGTGCTTATGTTGTGTTGGAGAAGCCGTAGGATAAAGAATTACCAAAAAAAAAAAAAAAAAATCAAATCTCAGACAGGTGTGGTGGCTTACACCTGGAGTCCTACTACTCAGCAGGTGGGAGGATCTCTTGAGCCCAGGAGTTCAAGACCACCCTGAGAAATAGAGTGAGACCCCCCCCATCTCTACCAAAATAAAAATAAAAAATTAGCCAGGCATGGTGGCACACGCCTGTAGTCCCAGCTACTACAGAGGCTGAGGTGAGAGGATCACTTGAGTGGAGGAGGTCAAGGCTGCAGTGAGCTGTGATCGTATCACTGCAGTACAACCTGGGTGGTAGAGTAAGACCTTGTCTTAAAAGAAAAAAGAGGCCAGGCACGGTGGCTCACACCTATAATCCCAGCACTTTGGGAGACCAAGGCAGGCGGATCACTTGAGGTCAGGAGTTCGAGACCAGCCTGGCCAACATAGCAAAACCCCGTCTCTAGTAAAAAAAAAAAAAAAAAAAAAAATACAAAAATTAGCCAGGTGTTGTGGCACATGCCTGTAATCTCAGCTACTCGGGAAGCTGAAGCAGGAAAATTGCTTGAACCTGGGAGGAAGAGGTTACAGTTTGCTGAGATCGTGCCACTGCACCCCAGACTGAGAGACAGATTGAGCCTTCATCTCAAAAAAAAAAAAAAAAAAAAAAAAAAAAAAGAAAAAGGAAGAAATGAACAGATACATGATATAACTTCAGGAACGGTGATCGAGCATTGTATAATTAAAATTTTCCTTTGCGTTGACTTTTAGAAATTCAAAACTTTTGCGGCTTTTGATACTCAAAATTAGTATCAACTCAGATGTTCTTCAGCTGAGTACTCTGTGAACCTGCTGCTTGATGTAATTATCCTGTGGTTACCATAAAGTGCAAGGGGCACTGTTAGTAATTGTAACTGGGACTGTTCCTAGGGATAGATGTTCTCTGTGATTGTCTCTCACTTTCTCTATATGATATTTTTTCTTTCTTTCTTTCTTTCTTTTTTTTTTTGTTTTGAGCCTGAGTCTCACTGTATTGCCCAGGCCGGAGTGCAGTGGTGTGATCTTGGCTCACTGCAGCCTCCACCTCCCGCGTTCAAGTGATTCTCCTGCCTTAGCCTCCCTAGTAGCTGGGATTACAGGCGTGCGCCTGGCTATTTTTGTGTGTGTGTGTGTGTGTGTGTATTTTTAGTAGAGTTTCGCCATGTTGGCTAGGCTGGCCTCAAACTCCTGACCTCAGGTCATCCACCTTCCTTGGCCTACCAAAGTGCTGAGATTACAGGCGTGAGCCACGGTGCCCAGCCTCTATATGATTTTTTGATGTATGATTTTAATTAGAATTATGTAACTTTTATTGTAAGCTTTCTCCAGTTATCAATTAGAGATACAAAGGGTATGAGTAAGTACAATAAATATACAAAATGTTCTTCTAAGCTTCCTGACCAGTGACTTCTTTAATAGAGGAATACAGTGGCCTCATTATCCTATCTGTCACACCTTTATCCTTTTATTTATTTTTATTTTTAAATTTTTTTTCTTTTTTATTATACTTTAAAGTTCTAAGATACATGTGCACAACATGCAGGTTTGTTACATATGTATCCATGTGCCATGTTGTTGTGCTGCACCCATTAACTTGTCATTTACATTAGGTATATCTCCTAATGCTCTCCCTCCCCCAGCCCCCCACCCCACAACAGGCCCCAGTGTGTGATGTTCCCCTTCCTGTGTCCAAGTGTTCTCATTGTTCAATTCCCACCTATGAGTGAGAACATGTGGTGTTTGATTTTCTGTTCTTGTGATAGCTTGCTGAGAATGGTTTCCAGCTGCATCCATGTCCCTACAAAGGACACGAACTCATCCTTTTTTATGGCTGCATAGTATTCCACGGTGTATATCTGCTACATTTTCTTAATCCAGTCTGTTACTGATGGACATTTGGTTTGGTTCCAAGTCTTTGCTATTGTGAATAGTGCCGCAATAAACATACGTGTGCATGTGTCTTTATAGCAGCATGATTTATAATCCTTTGGGTATATACCCAGTAATGGGATGGCTGGGTCAAATGGTATTTCTAGTTCTCGATCCTCGAGGAATCGCCACAGTGTCTTCCACAATGGTTGAACTAGTTTACAGTCCCACCCACAGTGTAAAAGTGTTTCTATTTCTCCACAGCCTCCCCAGCACCTGTTGTTTCCTGACTTTTGAATGATTGCCATTCTAGCTGGTGTGCAGTGGTACCTCATTGTGGTTTTGATTTGCATTTCTCTGATGGCTAGTGATGATGAGCATTTTTTCATGTGTCTGTTGGCTGCATAAATGTCTTCTTTTGAGAAGTGTCTGTTCATATCATTTGCCCAGTTTTTGATGGGGTTGTTTGTTTTTTTCTTGTAAATTTGTTTGAGTTCTTTGTAGATTCTGGATATTAGCCCTTTGTCAGATGGGTAGATTGCAAAAATTTTCTCCCACTCTGTAGGTTGCCTGTTCAATCTGATGGTAGTTTCTTTTTCTGTACAGAAGCTCTTTAGTTTAATTAGATCATATTTGTCAATTTTGACTTTTGTTGCCATTGCTTTTGGTGTTTTAGACATGAAGTCCTTGCCCATGCCTGTGTCCTGAATGGTATTACCTAGGTTTTCTTCTAGGGTTTTTATGGTTTTAGGTCTAACATTTAAGTCTCTAATCCATCTTGAATTAATTTTTTGTAAAATGTTTAAGGAAGGGATCCAGTTTCAGCTTTCT